TGGTCTCAGACCTGTCGTTATCAAACTGAATAAAAATGTAATGAACAACAAGTAATAATCATTACACTTAATTTGTGTAACAGTAAAACATGTAACATAGATAAAAAAAAGATAAATTGGTTCTTCTGTAAGCCATGTAGGCACTTAGGGGGATAAATATATGGATCTTATTCTTAACCTCGACATTAGGTAGGGGTGAGTGCTATGAACAAACAAGCACTGCAGTAGGACACAACTTCATATTCATATACCAGAAACATGTCATTTCTGCACATATTATGAACTAGATAAATAAAAATGAATTGCAAAGAGTGTCATTAAGTACTTAAAATTTCAAATTTCTCATAAGATAACGCGAAAGCACTGAGGAGCTAAAAGAAGCCGCAATCTTCAGGGGTTGCGACGGCGGCACAAAGTCCTTCCGAAGATTACCTGCCAGATAACACGGCGTCACAACCCAGAATATAACGTATTTTGATACGACGCAAAATATATGGTTTTTATTTATAATGCTTTCATTCATTAGCACCGCAAGCAGACCTAAATTCTGTATACGAAATTTATGTCCCGACTTTCGGTAATATCAAATGGTAAACATAAATTTATAATCTGAAATTTGAGGTTCCTGCAACGATGATAATGATGATTGTGGTCTCACAAATTCTAACCCCGAAGAGGTGAGCAATGCGTTCTTCCGAAACGTTGGGTACCACCTTCAAGACTACATAGCGGCACACCCCAGACGATCGCAACACAAATTATTAAACTCCTTATTATGTACATACTTCAATCTTATGTTGTTTGCTCTCTCTTAGTGTCATCGTTAAATTATAAAACTGTTAATTTAGACATTTATTTGGTCTTTCTGTATAATTCTTTAGATATATTTGAAGAAAACGAGGATCATGCTTTCTTCCCCGAGTTTCTACATTAGGTTTACGTAGTCCTTCTTATCTGGTAGAAGACTGACTTCTTACAATGTAACCTGACAGCAGTGGCAACAATTACATGACATTCAACTCTAAGGCTTTAAGAGACAAAACTATTTTATTTTTTCTCTTTAAAAAAGAGACAGAAAACGTTTACAAAGGAATGTTCAAACAGTGTTACACTATAGGAAACAAACGAAAAATAATCACCAGCCGGCTTTTGACACACTTGAAAAAACCGGGATTCCCCCTTGTAAAACAATGAGAGGTAAACTGTACATACAAAATTCATTTAGACGGAAACCGGGCTGTTAAAAAATGCCGTTGTGTAAGTGACTAAGAAGTAAAACGAGAAGTCCTAGACCGAGATATGACGCCTGCTTTACTTTACACTTTTAGACTGTTTACACATAAAGATTACGCATGCGCAGAAGCCAGTGCGCAATGATTAAACACTAAGGATTACTAAATAACTAACTAACTAGATGGCTTACCGAACCCTAAGGTCCATCACCGAATTAAACAAAGCCCTCCACCGGACCCTGTCCTGGGCCAACAAAATCCAGTCTCCTTCAACACCTATCTCCCATAGATCCCGCCTGAGATTATCCTCCCATCTACGTCTAGGTCTCCCCAGCAGTCTCCTCCCCTCAGGCTTCCCAACCAACATTTGCATGAATTATGTTACGATTGGTTAGTTCGGAGTAGATTTGGTTAGGATGGGGTAGGTTTGTGTGTAGATGCACAGACGCCAATGCGCCAGTCCGTCTACTGACATAAATTTTAATTAATAGTGTAATTTGTTAATTGAGTCGAAGCCTATAGACGACTTAAACAAAGTCGTCAGACATAATATTAAAATTTCCTGCCATCCTGTAAACTGTTTTCGTGGATCTGCGTACAAAATTTATTTTTAGGTCTATGGTTGTGATAAATCACCAAGCAAAATGTCATATTCTTGAATATAACTGTATACCAATTATTACCACTAGAACAATTTAAATTACAGCACGTATATTTTGTTGGATAAAAGTGTTTATTTCCACAAAAATATCGTTATCGGACGTACCTCCCGTCAAGTCTGACTGACCTATTACAGGTATGTTCACGTCGCGCTTACCCTGTGTAATAAAATTTATTGTAGAAATTAACACAGTCTATGGCTTGAAGCTTCCGCGGCGATTAAATTCAGTAACACATAGTATTTAAAGAGAAAATGTGATATATAATTTCTTAGGATCACGTTCAAGAAACACTGCTTTTATATAGGTTTAGGACCACTCGAATAGCCCAGATGGATTGTCTGAAGACCGTCGAGTCATGGACGGATGTCTGAGTTTTTCTGTATTGTCTTGTTTTGTGTTGGTGGAGATCTTGCGATGGACCAGACTGCCGTCCAAGGAGTCTTACCGAATGTCTGGAATATTCAAGCGTTCAAAATTAATTCCGAATGGTAACAGACTAGACACCACATAATCCGTGATACCTGAAAAAGTGATTATTATATTACGGGAACTGCAGTACTTGTGGGGGCGCTGCTGTAACTTGACCGGTTTAGGTGTCTGGACAGGAAGCCTGCTGATGTTCAGCTGCGCAGCAGAATGGAGGACGACTTGCGGGTTACCACACCAATGTAAAAACCAGCATCTTAGGTTTCCTAAACTAACTGTCTGGTAGCAGTATATAACCTGAAGGTCCAACACCGCTAATATCAACGACGGCCAATGGACACAATCCTAAGCCAGAAGCATCCATCTCCAATAATCGGATAATACTTCGGTGGAAGTCATTTCAATCCATGTATCTCGTTTTCGGTATTCCGAGTGATCGCTTTCCAATAGATTTATTTTCCGACCAAAACAATATGCATTTCCAGTATATCTATCTCAGCTACACGTGCATCTCACCATAACTTCTTACTCTCCACTGACCTAACATCATGCAACCTGCACAAAGTACAAAATACGCTCATTAATAGCTATGCATTACCCCACATTTCGCACGTCACCCCCTTTTGAAACAAATATTTTCCTGAGCACATTATTTTAAATTCTTAGATTATAGAGGTTTTAATTAACTAATAACATTTCTTTAATTTAAGGGAAATTCGATAACCCAAAAAATATCAAAACAGTTATGAAAATATATTAATATGGACCATTTCCAAACGCATTTATTTTCTATTTTGCGTTCGCAGTTAATTCACTGTAGATCCAGTCCACTTTTAAACAAGATTATCACAATAGACAGAAGCGTTTCTTAGTATTCTGTTAAATGTATGCCATACCGAAAGTGTTTTATGAAACCCTTCAACATTAATAACCTTAATAACCTTACAGACTATTTGTCATAAACGTATATTTTACTCAGCTACGATAAGCCGTTTTGCAGAAGTGTAATGAAGCCATATTTTAATTTCATCTTAAATGGGCATTATACTGGACCGATAAGACAGCAGCTTTCACTGTATAAACCTTCCAAGCGAAATTTAATCAAAATCCGTTAGGTGGTGCAGGATCTTACATGAACAAGGACAGACAGACATGTATGTTAGCTCTACATACCGAGAACAAATAATACATATAAATCAATGGAAACATTCTGAGTGATTTAGAATGTTAAGTATGAAATACAGAACGCAAATTTGAGAGCCCTTGTCCCATCCATGTTGGACTCAGCCCGAAAAAGAAAAAAATTAATTCTTGTAGTTTGTCATGTATTAAAAATGGCGTTAAAAATTACTTAAACAAGGGCCCGATATCATGCAGTATTCTACCGAACAGTTATGAAACAGCATTCCAGTCCATCGAATGTGCGCGTCCGACTATCTTGACATTTAAAGTAAGTGAATTAATGTGCATGTAAAAATAATGTGTATCTTAATGAGTTATTAACTCTTAAGTGCATAGTAGTAACTACATGTATCACCTGCTTGAATATTCAGTAAATCTGCATCTTCGTTAAAGGTTTCGTATGATCCTCACATAGCGATTATTTATTTATTTATTTATACTGTACAGCACTAAGCAACTAATTCTGGTAATGGAAAAGTGCTTCGCCTTCTTTTAGTTAATAATTTTTATACATTATTTGTACGAGCTTCGGCTTCGGAGGATAAAGAGAGCTACAAACTGTTGCAATAACCTGTACCGTAACTGTACTTATAGTCATGGCACCCAACAGGCCGGAAGTAAGTGCAAAAGACAGTGTCACCATGTTCCAACAGTTTTTTTCTTTATTTCCAGATACTGATGAAAAAAATCTAAAATTATAATTAACTCTGTGAATAAAAAAGTAATTGTAATTGTACAGGAGGACAACCTCGTTTCCATTCTGAACGCATTCCTTTGTTCTATCAGATATCTCTCTTGGGTACAGGAGTTTATAAACTAAGAACCGCTAATTAAGATGGCCGCCTCATTTTCAATGATTATGTCAAACAACACTCTACACTTGTATTCGGGAGATACTCGGTTCAAATCTCGCCTGTTTTCACTTTTCACTCATTCTGTTCGATGAGCCCCTTTTAATCCTTGATTTGAGCTTCACGTAAAGTAAGACCTTTGTTTTTGTATCGAAACAAACGAAAATAATTTCGTTCGACAAAATCTGGTCTTGACTGTATTAAGCGTTCATTTCCATTTGAAATGTAAAGAACGTATAAAACTGAATGTCTGCAAATAAGTAGATGGGTAAATGTGGGAGCGACTGATAAGGGATATCTCGGCTATGACACTGCCGTTATGCAGGAAGTCTGTCGGCTATACGCGCACACCTCAGATCAGCGGCACACTGAAGTAAAATAGCAAAGAAATTCAAAATTCCGTGTACCCCATGACGGAATAAACTTTTCCACTTCAATTACAACTTTACATATCATTTTGAACGTACAATATTTATTTCATAACTTCATTATATATTTCATTGCTCAACTGAATTGATAAGCACATTGTAATTTTTCCAGGTGTCACAAGCTCACTACAACCTGTTCTGAACACGACAGATAAATGTCTGTTGTACTTTATAATCCGACACTACAGATAAAATCAAGTTCCTTTTTTTATATTTCAGAACAAGGAATGTTAACTACGATCATGACGAGCAGCTGTCTGGTGTTGACAAAACTGCCAACTGAAGCATTTCGCATCAAATTGCTCTGACATTGGTAAATATCTTCTCATTTTATAATCACTACCAATGTGTTCTAGTTTTACTGTCCATAAATTCAGTATTTTGTCTCTAACAACACTTTCACTCTAAACTGAGATTTCTTTTTTATGGGATATTTAATTAAATTGCTACAAACACTTTTAAATACAAATATTTGTATGTAGGCTTCGTCTTTGACACTGGAATATTAGTTTCTAAACAAATCTATCGTATTGCTTTATTTAATTAAAGGGTGTCTTTTTCGTGCTTAAATTAACAGATTAATCATTTTCTCCCAAATATTGGTCCTTAAACAGAGAACAGCAGCCAAACAATAACAAGAATTCTAAGACGTAAGCTGTTCCGGATGACAAACGACACAAGCGTGTGAATTCAGTTGTTCAAAAACTCCTACAAATTATGTTAGGGAAAGGTTTTTAAACCTTAAAGGTACAAAATTAATAATTCATAAAACTTTGAATGACCAGGTAGACCTACACATTTCAAATTATATAAAACCAGTGTAGAAAAATACGTTTCAAGACATGATTATCGAGTTACAGAGACAAAAGAGGAAAAGTACAAGAAGTAGAGATATTTATTTCAAGCGGAATAATAAACGTACAAGACGAAGAATTAAAGGAAGTCTAAAAGACAATGAAACAAGATCAACCTTAGAGGTTTGCGGGGGCAGGGGTAAATTAGCTTGTCTCAGTATGCGTATTGCATTACGTCAATATGCGGGACTCTGGGCTCCATTCGCTGTATCCAAGGTACTGCTGTAAATGGTAAGGCTTTGAAACCAATCCTGGCAAAATTCATCCTCCAGTCCTGCTCCTAAACTTCTCATGCGCATTTGTATGTTGTCTTTTGTCCAAACAACTAACATTTAAGGTCTAATTCCTGCCATATCTGTTCTTCTTTTGTCTTGGATGACTTCAGTTCATATCTCATCACCTCATGTTACAATTTATTTAGATAACTTGAATACTATGCAACATGTTACGATGTGGAAACAAAGTTAATACTTATTTTCATCTCTTACAGGCAAATAAAATAAATTTCAAGGAATGTCAAGACAGCGTCTGAGGTTGACAAGTTAAGTGATGCTGTGCGTGTTAATACGATCCTACTTTCGCACGTTTACTTGTCTCAAAGGTTGAATGAAACAGATCCATCCAACTATCTGACAGACAGAACGTTTTCCACGTAAAACCTTTACATGCTTCTTTCTGACATCATAATAATTGAAAACAACACAACATTTTTATTTTCATCTTGTAAAACTCAACAGCTCTGTCGGTATATCACAAGACAAGTACAACTTAAGATATCTTGGTTGTAAAACTTGTGCTGTATTTCTGTGAAAATACGTTAAAACAGTGCGCTTTTATAATCAAATCACTTTATCATTGTGAGGTCGAAGAAAATACTGCCGACGACATATATTCAAAGCGTGTTCTGGAACTTTGAAACCTGAAACATTCTTTACTGTCAACTCAAGAATTTCTAATGGAATGTTGTTATAAAATACGTGTATAAAAACTTTGTCTGCATAATGAAGACATTGTTTCCGGTGATTAAGATATTTTTTTTTCCACAGGAAGCTAAAAAACTAGATACAACTTATTCAAATTATAAGTCACTGTGCCAAATAGGATAATTTATTTACGGAGTGTGGAGACATTGAACATGGCATTTATTTTAAAAGTAGCCCTATCCATGGAAACGCTTTGCTCCCATCCCTGAAGAGCAAACCTGACAGAAAATGTTTACAATCAAAGAACAAGAAAGATTCTTCGAAATTCTTCGTGTTTGCGTTCAAGGCCTTCAACAAACTTCATGCGTGAAATAAACTTCTATTCTGTATTTTTAACTTTTGTTTCTATAATATTTTCACTTATCACTGATGCAACGCCGACATAGGCTAGTATCTACAGACGGAAGCCTTAACAGAAAACTGTGACTGTATGAACTCGTTTCGCATGTGAAAACATACAAACTATAACTGAGGAATTGCAATTCGCTAGTATCTAGTTTCAACGTACTGTTCTAACAGTAAAAATGAAGATAATTAATCAAAGTTATACTGACATATACTCCGACAATTTACATTGCTGAAGGTTTTGCGAACAGCATTTGAATGAATGACAGCGGAGATCAGGAAGTTGAACAGAAGCTCTCGACGCTAAAATGTGTATTAAGTGAAACAATTTTATTAGAAGCTACAAATTTTAGTGCGACATTAATTTATTATACACCCTACACTAAATGTAGCGCTTTGAATAATTTTCCATACATGGAAATTACTAACGACAAAAATTTGCATATATTTCGTAATTTTTGTTACAAACCTATATAAATTTTGTAAATATATATTTACTTATTGTCCACCCAAAAGATCGCAGTTCTATCTGTTTCTAAGGAGAAGTAAAACACCACCATCCATTCAGAAAGTAACAATCGATAAACACAGAACACTTCCGTGTTTTTCATCCAGGATTCAGACGGCAGAAAACACGAGGGATCGACAACACGTATTCCTTCCCAAATAAGCGTAACATCAGTAGATCTCAAGAGCAGTGATACCGAAAACGCGTGTGAATTCTTTTGGGGGTGGCACTACGTCACTGTTACCAACTGCTGGGGAAGACATGACCGTCGCCAGCATGCTCCTACTGCCCGATGAGACATACGAAGAAGGAGCCCGAAATGCACAGGAAATGCTCGCGGTTCTTAGACTCTATGATGATTTCCTGGCGAGACATCGGATTCGACCGGAGTTCTTCTGCAAATACCGCGAGAAGGTAGCCCTCCAGAGATCTCTGCGTACCCTGCACTCTCTACAAGGCACCGTAACTCGCAGACGAAAAAAGCACGCCGGAGCAACGTCGGAGCACCGCTTCACCGGTAAGTACAATTCATTTTCTCAAAAAAATATAATTCTTAGCTGAATGGAGATCCAGACGTTAATCGTCGAATCGCATAATCAAATACGTATTTTTATTCTGGTTGTTCACTAAGTCCGGAAATTTCCACTTAAAAACGCTCAGGATTTAAGGTTGCTCGTCCAGCACCGAGTAAAGTAAAGTAGAAATCGGCTATAATCGCGTTTGCTCGCCTACGAAAATCGCAGGTACAGAATGTTAGTTGACGCAATGCCTTGAGCCTTCTTATCGCGGTGAGCGAGTGTGATTACGAGCTCTGGGAACAGACTTCTTTCGCACGTCTTTTGTGATGCTCGGTGAAGATGATGATTCTGAGATAGCCTGAGTTCCGATGTAACGGGAAACAACTTCGTTTTAATAACCAACCTCAAGCCATGTAGTCTTCCTTCAAAAGCTTGCTCAGATTGTCAAGGAAATTCCTGTCCTTGTATGTGAACCAAAATTGTATTTCCATTTTTAAAGATCGCCACTGAACCATACAATGAGGTACATGAATCCAAGACATCAGCATTCACAACCTATCTCTCCCTTAAATTTTAATATTCGTCTCCCACGTACGTTCAGGTTTCCCATATGAACTCGCCCCTTCAGGTTTTCATACGAAGATTTGGTGTTAATTTTTCATTTTCCCAATACATAAACCGCTCAAATTCTACTTCCTTAATCGTCTTAACAGGCCTGGTAAGGAAATTTTTAAGATGGCTGTCTTCTGGCTTGTTGAGCCGTGTAGTCTGGTAGAAGTTTTTCATTACTAATAGCACATTGTCTCTGATTCTACTCAGACTTCCCCTCGACGGTGATAAATTAAAGTTACTGTCTTACCAGGTTCTCCTGAAGTAAAATTACAAGCCACTATGCCCTACATACACACATAAAATTTACAACTTTATATAAGCTCCACACTCTCCCAAAACCTGATTACCCCCTTCGTGGTTCCAATGGACAATATTTTCCTGCTCATTATCCTTTCTGCTGCTAAACTACACGGCAATTCGCAGGAACGCACCCCCGCGTATAACGAGAGTCATCTGTAATTCTTTCAGCTTACAATACCAAAAAACACTTCTTCTTTGTGTATTATCCTTGAGTCCAGATTCAATATTACCTAAATTTACTTTCGTATACTGAAACGTTTCACTCGACTGACGTTCGATTCCCGGCTGGTGCATTGAATTTTCTGCTCATTCCTACGCACGAACTTATCCGAGGATTGTTATCACCCATTCAGCAGATACCGTGAGCTCACTTCAGAGGGTCATGCGTGTCACAAGCCCCCTACTCGTTTCAAACACGTGAACAAAACCACAAAATATCTCTCACCATAACTTGCTTCAGAACAGATAATTTGAATCAGAATCTTCTGAAAACGAAGTAGAAGTGGCATCTACTCGAGCGCGATTCTTTGTCATTAATAATTCTTATACAGTAAAACAGAACTTACCATCGCAGTTGAACCCGTATAATTTCCTCGATTTCTGAACCGTATCCTTCCCCTCTCCTTCAAGAAAGGGTACAAACGCTCGTAATTTATAGTCTTAGGTTTTTATTTTACATTGATATATTCAATGGACATTACAGAAGATGGAGGAATTAATGATCGTTTCATTTGAAAACAACACTAACATATTTGAACATCCGATCAGATTATGTAAAATATGAAGCCAGCCATAAGCACTAACTCAAGCAGGGCTCTATATTCAATATAAGGTCCTGAGGGCGAACTGTTCGGAGCCATGAGATAAAAGGGCGAGAGGTCACGACAGCGCGTTGGAAAGCCTTAACGAAACAAGGCGATAGCAGCATCAGCGCAAAGACGAAAATGAGAGAAAGCAAGGAAAGGAAGATGCCGTAGATGGTTAGTCTAGTTACGTAGTCTGTTATTCAGGTCCAGGTATCACGGCTGGTGCTCCATCTGGACTGTTCTGGCGCTGAATTTACTCGGAAACAATCAGTCCTTTAGAGATTTTATAGGAGACAACGAAAGCTAAAGACGAAAGCAGAATCACATCTGCTGGAATAAAATTCATGAGAACAGCGAAATGCATTTGGATGGACTATAAGAGACAGAAATGCGCGTTAAATAGAAGTAAAAGCAGAATTTTTACTGGAAACAATTTCTGATATATAAAACCACTTGTCTTCAGCATAATGACAGAAAACTATTACATAGTGGAAAACCACGCGGATTAAAAACCCAAGGAAAATCTTTAGAGTTTTAGGGGAATGAAGACAAAAGTGGCAAAAAGTGGTTTAAATATTCTCCTCAGCACCCTGTTCTGAAACGTCCTTAATTCGAGTTCTTACTTTAACGCGAGAGACTGCCACACCCATACAAAGCAAACTGGGGAGACAAAAGAATCTGATCTGCCTCGTAGTAAATTTAATTCCCACTACCTGAACAATACCAGGTGGCCAGTATAAATCGCTACGATCCTCGTTACATATGCCTGCAAATGAACACAGTCTCTATGATGTATAAAAAGTCGCGTTGCCCTTATTATGAAGACAGGCAGAACGTTTAGATCAGCGTTGGTTCTGGTTTGGCCTGCCTGTTTATTCAGGCTTTGTTCCAAGCGCTACTGTCTGCAGTTCAGGCTATCTGCAGTGGATACGTGCAACGACTACCAAACAGATAAGCATTACAAACGATTTCAGATTTCTGTCGCAGGTGGTAACAGGTGTTGATCCTCCATTGTGTACGTGCCATAAGGCCAAGCCACGAGATGTTATTGGGGAGAACTAACATGTGGCCTGGAATTTGGCCTACAGGATGTATCACAATTAATTATTCTAAATAAAGACTGTAACTTTGCAGCCCAACTCTAATTAAGAATACAGTGTTTTAACAATGTTCTTGACTATTTTTCATATCTTGCTGTCTTAGACATGCAAACATATTGTTGTAGGGACACTTCTCCAAATTCCACTACAATGACTACACACTCTCTATACAGTAAAAATGTGATAGTACCTGATTCTTCCGGTAAGTGGCCCTGCATACGACTGCGTAAGTGTGCGTTAATTACACTGGTCAACACATAAAAGTTATGAAATCGAAACTAACCAATCTTGACTAATTTTAGGCTGCTGAACACTAAAATCACATTAAAAATTGTCGATTGGCTCCTGTTTTCGAATTACGGTTGGGGGCTCATATCAGCGAGTTACACTACATTATTATCAGTTATTGTACCACCACGCTCTTAAAACGTGATCAGTAACAGTCACCCCGCTCTGCATAACGTGATAAGTTGTTGCCGCCTCAAATGCATCTTCAACTCTTGCAGTATTCCTCGAATCCGGCCAGGTACTGGGTAATTTGTTCTCATTTAACGGTTCTCTGTGAGATTCCTACTTCTTGCGCAGTATTTGTGTCGCATAAGATTAATATGCTCCATAATTGCGTGAATAGTCCGTATAACTGCTGGTACGTATGTAGAGAAGTAACGTTTGCTTCAAGAAAGTGTACGTTAACTAAGCCTTAATAAAATCTTAATAATTGTACTTTGGGTGTAAAGTAGGCGATCAGGACAAGAACTGGGCTCCACACATACGCTGCACTACCTGTTCATCAAAACTCAATGCGTGGGTGAATCGTAAGGGACGTTCTGTGCCTTTCTCAGTGCCCATGGTATGGAGGGAGCCAACAAATCACATCACAGACTGTTATTTCTGTATCGTGCCTCCTATTCGAAAAGGGGTGACATTGAATAGAAAGTGGAAAGTGACGTACCCAAATATGCCATCTGCAATTCGCCCCGTGCCCCACGGTGAAGTATTACCTATTCCTGAACCACCCAAAAGTATCACATCACAGACTGTTATTTCTGTATCGTGCCTCCTATTCGAAAAGGGGTGACATTGAATAGAAAGTGGAAAGTGACGTACCCAAATATGCCATCTGCAATTCGCCCCGTGCCCCACGGTGAAGTATTACCTATTCCTGAACCACCCAAAAGTATTTCTGTAGACTCTGATGAAGATGAAGACACTCATGATGTTCATGTTGAGCTTGATATACACGAAGAAGTACAGCAGCCGTCTACGTCAAGGGATCCACCATTTTGTACAAGCCTCTATCCTTCTGAACCACATAATATCACAAAAAGTGAGCTTAATGACCTCATCAGGAATCTCGAACTGCCGAAGAATACGCCAGAGCGTTTGGCCTCGAGGCTAGAACAGTGAAATCTTCTAGATCATTCTGTGAAACTGACAACATTTCATACTCAAAACAAAGACTGTGATAAATTCTATCAAACAGAAGGTGAAGTCACTAACTTCTTATGGAAAACTGGGGTGTAACATGTCATTTAAGATGCATTTATTGCACTCACACCTGGATTTTATTCCGTCAAACTGTAGTGCCGTCAGCGACGAACATGGTGAGCGCTTCCATCAAGACATCTCAGTGATGGAGCAAAGATACAAAAACAAATGGAGTGCCGCCATGTTAGCCGATTATTGTTGGATGGTGAAAAAGGGATGCTCCAGTAGCTAAATACAAGCTAAAGGCGAAAAGGCATCGTGTTTGACAAATGTATGTTCGTAGCTATATCTTACTGTCATATAACGAAAAAATACCTTGTGTAAATATAACAAACTAGTTTTTTTAAACAAGAGCCAATCTGCCAATTTAAGCACTATTTCCGCACCCCAAAATCGATAAAATAAACTTACTTTCATACCCAAACAAGAAATGATCCAAAATTTGTTGAACAGTGTTATGAAGATGGTAGATGAAAGACGACAAAAAACGCGAATATCAGAAATGGTATCCAGAAATAAATCGTCACGCTGTACTATTGAAGGATTTACCAACGCCAGCTAGTACTCAATGACGGGACAAATTATTCGACATGACAGGGAAAAACGTGTCCGATGAAAATGCTACTTTGTTAATGTGTGTACCATGTTAAGTATGTGAACATTGCGGTGTGTCCTTTCTTATACAGA